TTTGTGAGAAGAATTAATGTGAATATACGCTACTTGTCAAGTAAACGGGCACCAGACACACTTTGCTGATCTGCTTGAAATGAAAATCAGTACCTTACTATTGATTTATTAAATAAGTGCATCAGAAGTGGCTCCATCATGAAAGTATAAGTGAAAGTAAAGAGCGACATTCTTACAGTAACAAGCACAACTTTCTTTCCTCCAAGGTATCTTGAAAGTTAATGCAATAACGAAGTCTTAACCAAGGAAGCAGAAGGCTTGGATACGATAATCACTGTCATTGCATCATCATTGTCTTATTCACGAATTTTCTAAAACGAAGAATTTATCACGTATTGCTTCGGACCAGGGTTTGCTCAGTCGGCAGAGCGTCGAACTGAGAAACGGAGGTCCCGAGTTCAAGACCTCATCAGAGTCATCACTCGCCTTTCTTCCTCACGAGGCATATAAATGAGTACCACTCTGTGGGAACAAGTTAGGAGAATACACGCTGCGTTTTCCACATGGCTGCAGACCCCGCCTTTAAAAAGATGAGGCACTCTTGGTTGATGGCATAAAAACGGGGCTCAGCACCGCATGATCAACTTTCTGAAAAAGGGCACCAAAATGGTCCAATCATGGACGTGGAGGAAGACCGACACCCCAACGGCGATAAACTTTCTTTTCTTTCTAATGCGTCATTAAATTTTATTTCCACTAGTTATGCATCATTTTGTTTTACTTCAATGTCACTGTTCAGAAGTTCGCCAACACCAGACAGATAATTATTGTAAATGGAATGTCAGCAGCCTGTTCTGATCCGCGGCTGGACAAAACCTGTTTAAAATTATCGTCCTTAAAACCAACTTATAAGGTTGAGAATATAATCTTGGTGGGAAGTCGTCGTTTTCTTCGCTCTCACACATTCCTCTCTCTTTTCTGTAAACTCATTTAAACATTTTGGTTTACATACATATAAAACACAGGGAGTTAAGTAGAACTGTTACTCCGATCCCCTCTGAGTCACGAGCATCTTTACAGGGGAAAGGTAAAGCTAATACGAGTGTACCGTACCACTGCAAAAATTATTTAGCATCTAGGAGACTAATGCAGCAGTCAGCCGAAGGGATCTAGTATGCTGAAAATCCACCCCTTCAACCGCTTTGAAATTTGTCGCCATATGCGGATAAAAGATACCGCTGCTTGATCGAAGAATTAACAATAATTTACAATCATTTTACACTGTCCAATACAGGTTAATTCAACGCTAAACTGGCTCTTGCACACAGTTCTTCGAACGCTTTCAGCTGTAGCACGATTATCACAGGGTTCGATCAAATCGACGGTTTGCAAGTTGGAGATTGTCATGACTGGATCACGTCATCTACCACGTGACGATGAACTGGTTGCACCTCTCATGGCCATCCTGCACTGTTCTTCCCCTGGTGATGGTAAGGAAATCTTTACATAATCGGTCCACGCCACTGATCGTTCGAAAACTACAACCCTGCTGAACAATGCTTTCTACAACCCTAGAGTTAGGATGAGAACTTGTATTGCCGCGT